TTCAGACAAAAAAAAAAAACAAAAAAAACAGTCATTGACATCTATCACCTCACTAACTTTTCTATGGCACTGAGACATTGTCCACATGTGGAGGACACATGGATCAATCTTCTTAAAATGAGTTCAAGAGCAGATCATCCACATAGTCAGGAAAGAGCATCAGAAGGACTTCACATCTCTATTAGCTCTGTAGTTGAGAGTTTAGTTTTTACATTAGGTGAAAAACTAACCAGATTTGTTTTGGTGGTAGTGCGATGGTCTTTCTCTAGAAAGAACATTTGAAGGAGTCCAGCATCAGTTTATCGAAAACTCTAACACACTTTGTTCTCAGAGCAGGACAACAGTCTGAAAACCATCAGTCTGCATAGGAATGATTGGAGAGGCCTTCTCAAGTCAGGCTTAAGGCAGAAGCCATAATTATCAATTTATGAAAATAAATTTGTTGGTCTTCTGAGGGCACTCAAAAACCCTTAAATGGGGCCCAGTTCAAATAATGACAGAGATGAAGAGTGGAACAAACTTCCTCCTCATTGCCATTTACAGCAAACAATTGATGGTTTCCATGGAGTGATTATTAAAGAAAATATATGAGAATATTTTAAAGTGAAAGATTAAAGAATAGGTTTGATTTCAGAGTTAAGCTCAGATGTTTGTTTTAACAGTTTATAAAACAGTAAAGCCAGAGGCAGTCACATGTAAACTCTATTATGTTAATATTGTGACCTTTGTAGAAGAGATTACTTGAACGGAGCTGTTCTGTTCCATTAATAAAAAAAGGATCCGTTGCAAATCAGCCACAAAAAAAACTGAAGTTCAGCCAAATCCTGTTGCAAAACCCCAGTTTCTGTGTTTTCAGAGTCAGGGTTGGTAATACGGCTGAGGAAGTCAGACCTAATCCCAAACATGGGACGAAGCTTAGCCAGTCACTTATGGGTACGGAGGAAAAGGTCTTCACACGCAAACAGACACAGATATCAAAACTTTAGCAAGTCTGATGAATTCTATTCAAAAATTGTTTTCTTTTAATAAAAAATCTGCAGCATTTTTGAGTGAGTGCTTTAAGATACAACAAGTCCTTTATGGTTTTTGTCCTCTAAAAGCTAATCAAAAAGATGCTGAGGTTTTGAGTTCAAGCTAAGATGTCTGGATGATTAGTGTCTGTGCACATTTATTTGAGGAAAGATCCAATCACGACTGCTTGGTTTAGGGGCTGGACTTTTATTGGTCCATTTCAGATCATGTTTATGCTCTGATCTAAAACATTCCTCTATAACTCTGACCCTATGTTTAAGAACCTGCTGTTACTGTAGATGAAACTCAATCCCATCTCATCTTCTTAGCTCCATCCATTTTCCTATCAAATCTGAGCACAGTATAAGCTGCCACCAACATGTTTTACCATGAGAGTGATGTTTTTTACATCAATCAAACATTGACATTCCCTTAGGTGAGAAGAAAGATCTAAGGGGAAACCTTAAAGGGGTAAGTATGCTTTTGAAAGGCATTATATCTATATATTTACTTCCTATTTTAGAAAACAGTTCTCCTATCAAAGAACTAACCTGAAACTAGTCATATTGCAGAACCTAACTTGTAACCTGAATGTGTGCACTGAGAATACCATCAGAGGTTCTTTATGTGAAGCTCTTATGCGCGGGTTTGCATCTTGATGTCATCAAACATACAACTAAAAACCTTACACTCTCCTAAAACATTTTAGGCCATAAAATCCAGATTATTAGTCCTTTAAACATTCATCTAATTTTTACAGTTTTTAAAGTTTGCAGGAAAAGGAAGAGAAAGGGCCAGAGCTTTAGAGAGAGACTCTAATTGTAGACAGAAGACATGAGAAAGAGGGATTTTCTAATTAATTCTAATAATTTGAGGCAACAACACAGAGAATGGAAATAAAAGGAAGTTGGAGAGTAAAGGTAACAGGTTTTCATTATAGGACTTTGCAGCATATTACTGCCTACAAAACAATGTTTGAATCTTTATCAATTCAATAAAAAATACTTTATTAATCTCAAAGGGAAATTAAATGTTGCAGTAACTGATAAGTTATTTTTAAAACAGGAGTTGTAAGTGTTGATATCTGTGGGAAGGAAGGATCTTCTGTATACATACATTGTTCTAATGCGCATGCGCACACAGGAATTATTCCCATATTGAATTTTAGCAGCAGTGTACCGACTAGCAAAAACACGTCTATAATAAAGTTAAAAAAAGAAAATCAGCTTTGATTATACTGTTATTTCATGGAGGTTGAAACGGCCAGAAATGATTGAAGTTTCCTGGATGTTGAGAGCAGGAGCCTCTATAGCTAAAATCATATTAGTCAATATTAATTTAAAATAAGCTTCTTTAGCAGTAAAAAAAAACATGTATGCGGGAATTTGAAATCAGTTAGATTTTGTTTTCATGTTTAAAATCATAGAAAACATTGGCTTTGGTTTATATTGTAAACATGAAATCATTTAGGCCAGATAAAAACTAATCAGATGCCGATCATATGCTGTTCTGACAGAACACCGCATCTGGAGAAGGCTCTTACTGAAGACACTCTGTTGTTGTCTAAAAGAAAACTCTGAAGAGGATGCTCACCGTTACACATAATGTTCTTCACTTTATGTAGAATTCTTCTTTGCAAAATAGTCTCTATAAGTTCCAGTGGAGTTCCTAGAACACAGCCGGCCTTCTTAATTAGCTTGTTGAGCTTTTTTAAGTCATTAGCTCTAATACTGTTACCCCAGCAGAGGATGAAAGAAGTTATAAGACTCTCCACAACAGACTGATAGAAGATTCAATATAAACTGACGTTGCATTTGGTGCATGCAACAACAAGAAGATGCTTTTTAATATCATCCATAAGAGCTCAAAGAGTAACTATGACCCAAACTCCACTTAACTGTAGGGATAATGACTGATTTATCTCAATGGTAAAAGTATCTCATCAAAAGACTTTGAGGTGTGGTTGAAAACTTAGCTTCCTTGATGAAAAGTTTGCAGACTCCTGCTCACCAGGACCCAGAGAGAAGCCAAAAAAACAACCAGAGATCCCTGAGCAGAGGAGGATAATCCAGGTACAGAAGGAAGATACCCTGACTACCATTCCTTCATGCTGTTCTCTTAGTGCTTTGTCCCCAGTTTGAGTTGTGAAGCTGGAAATGAACTGATTGTACATTGTGCAATCTCTGTACAGGCTTTTTACTGTCTGGACCTAATCCATCCCTGTCCATATGATTTGCTTTGCTTGCTGAACCCTCAGCAGGTCCCTGTGGACACCAGGGAACACCCTGGCTAGATTTCCTGTAAATGAGATAACTCTGCCATGCTCATATTCGCTTTGATAATTTAGTCACTAATTAAGCAATCCAGTCAGACCTTGGACTATGAAAACTGCTCTGGTTCTGTCATGGCCGCAAAGCAAAGAAGAGCAAAACAATACAGAAAAGCAGACAGTGAGTTTCCCATAATGAAGGATCATCCAGCATAAAATCTAACATTATCAAATTAGCTGTATAATTTTGACACCTTTATCTGTGCTTTATGTTGTAGATCATGGTTTTAATTACAGAGAGTGTTTTTATATAATAGTGCAGGAGCTCCAGCACATAATTAAAGTCAGGCTGCAGAAATAAATCACACCACTGAGCAGGGGCGCTGGGAAGGGGGAAGATTCCATGGGCCCTTGACTGAAGGGGGCCCCAAAAGAAGAAGAAAAGACATGTCCTGCTATATATTTCAAATAATAATAAAAAAAACAAATCCAGCCGTAAAATCAATTATCTTTGTGTTCTCTCTTATTTCCCAGCAGTAAACAGCGAAATAATGCACAAATATATTGTTTTAAAACCTGTGTCAATGATAAAAAAAGGTTAAATAGATTTTTATATTCCGATTAAATCACAACCATTAAAAGACATCTATAAATCTTAATCAAGCTCATGAGCAGCCTGAAGCCGCCACACCAAAAATACATGTTTTGCCATTGCACGTATTCATGAATGAAAAACAAGTTCTCAGGGCCAGCATAAAAATAATCTGTCTTTTAATAAAGTTATAGTGAAACCTTAGCCAACCTAAGCTGTTATTCTTTTGAGACGATTATTTTTAATGTAAGGTTTTAAAGTTAATGTATATTTTTCATGTTATGATCATTTTCAGTGCATTTCTATAGCAGTTTTAAAGCTTGCATAATTTTTTTTATTTATTTATTTATTTATTTTATTTTATTTTTTTGTTTGTTTTTTTTTTTTTTTTTGGGGGGGGGGGGGTGCTATATGGGGCCTCAAATTCCTGGTGACGCCCCTGCCACTGATTCCCTGCGAGTCCTAAACAACAGAGTAATAATGCACAGCTGGAAGCCCATAGTGCTTGGTTCACATCGGGTGAAAACATGCACACAACAATGGTGACCCATTTAAGATTGATGACGTCGGCAGGTAACCCAACACCTGTAACACCTTGTCTTCTTCTCGGTGGAAAGCTGAGCTCCTCAGAACAGCTCAATCACAACAATCTGCATCTCAGGCGTCAGAAAAAGGAAAAAATAAGTTATTTTCCTGCTGATTTCGCAGATTAAAGATAAAGTTACAAAATAGAAAGAATAAAAAAGGCCTGCCGTGATTCGGGGAGCGACTGGTTTATTAAGTGCGCATGGTTTCCAAAGTGAGTGTAATTACAGCTGCGTCTCCATGTTCGCACAGTGAAGCCAAAGAGGAAACAAGTCCCTCTGAAGGTTTTCACTTCTGTAACTTTTCTAAACATGCAACACATATCATATTTTTTTCTTTGCTTGTTGTTTTACTGGATAATTCCCAGTACGCAGAGCGAAACCAGCAGCAGCAGTTATGAGAGCCCCCACCTCTCCACCCACACGCACATGTCAATAACAGAGTCAGCAACTGTCCCAGGAAAATAAGAACAGGTGTGTCCGAAAAATTAGAAGTTACCATGCCAGTTAAACTAGCTGGAGAGCAGTATGCTGCCTTTCTTACCGTCAGAGCCTGGAGCGCACAGAAGCGCTGAGCGACGACAACCAGGGGCCCCTGCTTCTAGGAACACAAACCCTCTGAGCGCCTCTGATCAGTCAATGGTTTGTTGTTTTCTTCACGTCCTAGATCCAAACTTTGGTCACTTTGGGAAAGAAATAAAAAATGAATAAACAGCAAAGGAGGGAAGCTCTTTAACGCGCTCAGCAGAGCTTCATGTAGGTGAAAACAGTCCTTGTGTTGAAGCTCCGCCCACCTGGAGACCCAGTCTACCTCAGAGCGCTTCTGGTTTCACTAACAAACCCCACAGACAGACTGCCTTCAAATCTAAATTATTTAATGATTACTATTATAGTTTTTAATTTGCCCTTGTTTGAGAAGGCGTTCTCTAAGTTTGCTATGGCCGGTTTCATCAAAGGTTAAAAAGACTCACTTTAAAATCTCGCATAGTACTTATCCAATGGCAGAATTTTTGCACAAAAGATTTATATTTGATTTTTACGGAAGAGAAGAGGATTAGGGTCACTGAAAAAATAAAAAGAGTTAACTGATTTTTAAATTTTATTTCAGTTTAATATTGGAAAAAGGTCAGAATTCTGACTTTATTCTCAGAATTCTTACTTTAATCTCAGGATTATGACTTTTTTGCTCAGAATTCTGACTTTTTTCTCATTTAATCCTGAGATTAAAGTCGGAATTCTGAGAATAAAGTCAGAATTCTGAGCAAAAAGTCAGAATTCTGAGATTAAAGTCAGAATTCTGACTTTTTTTCCCATATTAAACTGAAATAAAATTTAAAAATCAGTTAACTTTTTTCATTTTTTTAGTGACCCTAATCCTCTTCCATACTCTTCCGTAGTATTACACCTAATTGAAATATTTGAAATCTGTTTCTGCCAAAAAAAAAAAAAAGGAAATGCCAGTATTTCTACTTTTCTTTTGTTTTAAATCTTGCTCTATATTTATTCATTGGCCTTATTGTTTATGCATCTGTTCTTTGTTTTAGCCCCAGATTTTTTTCCTCTACTCATGTTTTAATGTTTGTGCCTCAAAGAGTCTTTGTACACTATTGGTTTGTTATATAAATAGTTTAAAAAAATAAATAAATAAACACCACACCATACATTTACTGGATTAATACAAAAGATAGTTAGTCATTTGTGCTGCAAAATAAGTTATCTTATATCAAAGCAGTTTGCATTTGTTGGGTTAAAGTTAAAATTTGGTGCAAAAATATGAAATCATCCTTAATACTGGAACCTTTATCCCACAAAACTAGAATGTTTTTAAATGCTGCCTGAGTTTAGGTGGTTTATTTTGTTTATTGGTCAGTTTAAAAATGGCATGAAAAACATAATTGCTTCTATTTTAAAATAAATATATATGTAAATGAGAGATTTTCCTCATGTACCCCAACAGCTCTCAGTTGAAGCATAGGAATGTGAAGTCTCACCATAAAGTTTTTACTGAATTGATTCAGATGGAAACAAAAGTGGCTCTGTAGCGACCTCAAGTGGTAGATATATGCAATGATAAAATAAGCTCAGGAATAAACACAGTTGGTGAAACAAGAACATTTCTTAGTATAGATTTGGTGTCGGTTAGTCAATAATAGTGATACTGCTCTGTTGTTACTCAAGGCTCAACGTTGTTCTTTTGGTTTTAACAACCATTTATTGTGGACACTTCTTAGAAAGTCCCCAATTAATGCCACCAGAACTAAAACCAAAAGGTAATACAAACCCAAATCAGTTCAAAATAAATGCAGCATTTACATAAATAAAAGTTACAAATAAGCAAACAAACCCGCGTACTTCATTAGCCGCATTGACTCCAGAGGAATAAAGCTTAATATTTAATGATCAGCTTTTCAGAAGTGCACCAGCCAATGTTTTTCTGGGCAACTGGTCCCTCATATATTAATATGCTTTTTAACCAAACAACATAAACATGAACAACATGAATTTACTCAAAGTTATTTATTTATTTATTTATTTATTATTGAAATTTTCATTTAATGCTACTATGTATGAACTATAAATTTTTAACTAAATTTAAATTTTTTAAATTAAATTAGAATAATGAAATAAGTTAATCCAGATGGCAGCAACAAATAGTCAGTTAAATAAATACATCCTGAACATTTTTAAAGTGGGATTTGAAGCTGTGTGTTAAATTAATTTCACATACACTTTAATATTTTAAATATATTCGATTCTCACCATATTTTCAATGTTTTTGAAATGTGCATAAAAAATTAACCATCATATTAATTCAACAACTAAATTGAATTAATCTAATCAACATATTTATTAAATTCTCTCCAAATGTTTACATGCACTTGAACACATCGCTAGGCCATTCCAACAAAAGAGACTGGGGATGGAAGGGAAAAATTAAGTGTTTCAGCTTTGCACCAAGATACTATATATCTTGTATAAGTCTGTTGTGGAAAGTTTGGTCTCTTCTGCCATCAGATCAAAAGCATCAGATCAAATGACTTAAAGAAGCTTCAAACAGATGATTAAGGTTGACTCTTTACCTCTGGAGACGATTGTGTTAAAACTAATTCCTTATGAAATTAAGAACCTCAAAGTCAACCTTGAGTATTTTCTTCATCAGACTGCGTAATAACAAGAAAGTGTTTTCAGTCAGAGGCTTCTCCAGATCCATTATTATAATAAAAATAATCAGTGAGATGCATGGATAACATTAAACCAAAACCTTAGATTGCATTTTGTGTTCCTAAATCTCAAACTTACATATAATTTTTTAGCCTTTCAAACATTAAAAAAAATCTTATGGTAAATGTTTTAGTTTTGTGTTGAGTTTGTCAACCACAATGCTGACTTTTAAGATAATTCTGGTTCATATTTAACCTTTTTAATTTTATTGTCTGACTGAATGTGAGAGAGCAACACATCCCTTAGCCCAACACTAAACTGGCCTGTAAACCGTAGACCTCTGACTGTGCACATTCTCACACATCCAGGATCAGTGGGCTCTCCCTACACACAAAGAGCCGCCTGCTGTCGCAGCAGCAACATACTTTCTCTGGATACAAGGGGACGCAATCCAATAGAGGTGTTAATAACTGTGGATAAGGAACAACAGATACTTTTCTTTAATATGTTTAGTATCTTAAATCCTTTCAAAACGAGATGATGCCAGAGACCATGTGTAAAGAAGAGGATGAAGAAGAAGAGCGAAGAACTCTGCAGGACAGAATTCAATCAACAGGTAGCCGTTAAACGACTGAAATATTCTAGAATCTACAATTCAGCATTAATGAAGGGAACAGAAAAGAAGCCTTTTCTTCTATGTAGCAACATGCGCACTTTGTAAAGTTTTCAATCAGTTAAGCATGATCTAAAGCTTTAAAGTGGAATTTGTCTGAGAATATTTACATTATCAAGACCGAAAATATCCTATATGTTCCTTTTTTTCTTCACTAATATTGTAAAGAAAATCATCCTTCCTTGGTCTAGCCTTTGCCTCTCAATAGTTTTCCTCTCCTCTACCTGATGGCACTGATTGAACTCATCCATTCAGATGTCTCCTGAGCTGACAGGCCTACTGTGTGATGAGCTACTGTAACTTAAAATATGCAGCTTTTCTCTCCTTCAGACATTTGTAGGAGAATAATCTCACACTGTTATCATTCCTGAAATATTTAACAACAAAAATGTTAATGTTACATTATAAATCATTTAAAATCTCACTGGTTCCCAGTTAATATCTTAATGTTTCCGACTAACTTATCTTAAAAAGAACATTCTGTAAATTAAACCTCTCTTTCTTAAGTCCATCTGATTAGAATATGATGATTTCTTGTCTCACTGTGGCACACAAACATAAGAAGACAGAGAGGTCTGACAACAGAAGATATATATAAAACAAACAGGAAAATATGTGAATATGATAATATTTGCTTCCTAAATTTGACCAAAATTACAGTCAGAGCTGTATATGCAATTCTAAGAATAAGTTAGCTTTAAAAGAAGTGTTGCAAAGATGAATGTCGTTTAACCTATAATTGCTGAGAGCAGTATGATTGTTGTCTGCTTTTTGGGTCAAACTAGCTGCAGACCCTGTGCTTTCTACGTATTAGAGTCTTGTTCTAGTGTTCAAAGCTCTGTGTTTACAGTAAAGCTGGTCAGCTTCATGGAGCAGAGCAGCTGTGACACAGAAACAGATTGTTTTTCCAACGTTCCTTTTGTCGCCAGCTTCCACCAGCTGCTCTGTGGCTGCTGCTGCAGCGCTGAGTAATGTCAGCATGTGTTGAAGTGAGAGCGAGGCTGTTTAGGGAATCTGTCCCTGCTGATTTCAGCAGCTTCTCTCTCTCTCTCTGTGTTTGGGTTGTATTTTCTGGAGATGATGTAACATTGTAGAATTATTTACATTTGTGGGTTTTTTAAGAGTCTGACAGGGGTTTTTCAAAATATCAGTTTTGTTTCCCCCTGTTGTATAAAAGTTTAATCAGCTGTGGATGTCTACATGTTTTGTTTCTAGGGAGCCAGAGTGAGTTTCCTGTCTTTTAAAGAGAAAAAACTATAAATTCTTCTAGACTTTGGGTGTTTTTCAGCTTTGTTTCCTTTTTTGGAACTTTTTTCAGACATATTTTTGCTAAAACACCTTTACCATTATCAGAGAGATTTTTTTTTTTTTAGATTATTAATTTGCTAAGCCTCCTTACTCATTCCCCCTAACAGTCAGCCATAAAAGCAGGAGTGCTAGAAATTACCATTAGATCAAGAAATAATAACCTGATGAATGAGCAGAAAGAACCAAAGATTAATAACAAAACTAAAATATAAGCATACAGGTATTAATTATACACTTTAAAGCACAAAAGCATAATACAGTGAATTGTAGGTGGTGTAGGGAGGATGTAAAACAGAAACTAGAAAACAGGACAAACAAGTACAAATTATTAATCAATGTTTTATCTTGATCCTCTGGTAGGCTGTGTACATAAACACACTCAAGATACTAAATTGTCACAATTGTTACTCCAGACCTGATAAGGGTAATGTATGCCTTCAGGTTTTTACCAACCCCAAAGAATAAGGAGATGAAGGGGAGGAGTTACAGGTAAATAGAACTGATTTGGATCCAGCACTAAAAGCATTTAGTCTCTAATACACAGTTTATTCTATTTCTTTTATTGGATTGATGAGAGAAGACAAACATTGATGTTCCTGAAAGCTGTTAGTGGGACGTACAGCATGCAGTGGATAATTTGCTGTAGGATATGCACCTTTTTAGGTTCTGCTGTGGATAGTTTTTTAGAGCCAATATTGTTTTTAGTTATTTTTATGCCTGGATTTCTCATTTTTGTAGAACTTAATTGAGGTCAAATACTTAATATGAAATAAAATAAGAGAAAGTCTAAAGAAAATTAAAATATATGTTTGAAGAGACCAAATAAGTAGTGATTAAGATGGTTTGATGGATAAAATGTTTGTCTTTTGGTTAACCTGGCAAATAATTATTATTTTCTTGCCTGTACTTTAGCATTGTTCCAAGCAGCATCGCAGGATAGCACAAACAAAATGACCAAAAACCTTACTAGTGCTGCTTAGTTTCTCTTCCAAACAAAGTCGTGTGATTTCATAGCTTTCTAGATAAGAACACACCCCAAACCGCCAAATTAATCCATCATGGTGTTTCAAAGCCATGGCTGATGCAGAAGAACCTGAAAATCGTTCACACCTCCTGTGCATTCTGGAGCAGTGACGAAGCTACACTGCCTGGTCCAGTATTCACTTCCTGAAAGACCACATTCCAGCTCACCTGACTAGCCAGGTAGACACAGGAGCTTAGAATCATGATAAGGACGTCCCTCTTTTCTTTCTGTTGTGTGAGCTGGAGCGTCACTGCCAGTTTCAAGTCATCTGTCACACTGAAACAAACCTGGAGGGACAGATCTCTACTGGAGGATCCTCAGGGTGAAGATTCCCTTAGCAGCTCACAGGTAGGAGCATCAGAAAAGTGATCAGTGAGTTGTATCGTTTAGCACTGATGAGCCCACACTAGGATAAACAGCTCTGCTGGTGTTAAAAAGGGACACCATAGGAAATGTTCAAATATTAAAGCCTAGTTTGTTATGGCGGAAGGTCAGGAAGGTTTTTTCCTGAACGTGTTAAAGTGTAACTTTCATCAGCAAGGCTGTGGCTCTAACTGTCAATAAGTAACAGGTGTGATGGCTGGATCTGACTGCTGTGACGTATGGAGCTGCAGGTGTTACCAGCCTCATCTTCAATCCTTACCTAGAAAAGGCTTTTTACCTTTGTTTCCCAAAAGACCTCTTTGTTTTTTTATGTTACTGTTTTTATAAATATCCTTGTTTCTGTAAGACGTGTCACATACCACAATTCAAAATTGCATTAGAAAATATCAGAGTGCTTAAAATATAGCTGTGAACTGGTTCTTCCGCATTTTGTCCCTAGCTGGTTTGATCAAGGCTGTTGAATTATGGTTGAAACAATCAAGTGAAAAAAATAGATTCATAAAGTTCATCAGTGTTTTCTAGCAGATCACTTGGTGGGGGTTTAAGCTGTTTAAAACATTATCTGGTGTCTTTATTAAAAACCTTAGACTGTAAATGTAGGCTGTTATATTATTAACGCTAAAAGTTTGTTTTAACTTAGCAGCCCTATAAAAGCCTACCATGTAAGGTGAGGGAATGTATCATTAAATAAAGCTTAAAGACTCAGTGATGATAAAGTTCAAAGTAAGCTTCAGGGCAGTAAAGAGAAGATATGTCACTTTGAACATGTCAGGGTTGATGGTAGAGGTAGATGGGTTTGCCTGAGGACTTGATAAATCCTAATCTACTGGGATTTCCACCAACAATCGCATCTCTGGTTTTTAAAGAACAGTCCAGAATGGAAACATCTCACACTAGCAGCAGCTGAGCAGATAAAATGACCAAAATGATGTTGGGTGAGAGATCAGGGGTGCCCCAGTCCCGTCCTCATCCTATAACTTTTAGATGCATCTCCTCGGCAACAAACCTGAATCTAGCTCAGCAGAGGCCTGGTAACGAGCCCCTCATTTGATTCAGGGGTGCACTTGAAAGGTGCATGACTAGGGCACCGCTGCACTGGATAACAGGTGTGCAAATCACAGAGCCTTTAACTTGATGATCAGCAGAAGCCCTCACTGGATGCGCTCTTGTTTGTGAACTGGAAGAACAAGAAACAGAGGCTGTATGTTGTTCAGATTGGAAAATGTTTCTTGGTCTGTTGAGGCTTCATTCCAGCTGCCCCATACAGATGATGAGGTCAGCAACAACAAAGCGTGGATCGCTCTTGCCTTGGTCTGCAGGCCAGGCTGCTTCATTTAAATGCTACAGTCTAGCTGAGTATTATCACTAACCATCTCTATCCCTTTATGGTCAAAGAACATCTAAAAACTGCTTTTAGCAGAATGAAACAAAACTCTAATTATCTTAAACTTGTTTCCTGAACATGACCGTGAAACAATTAGATTAGGGCTACATATTTGCTTTAATATTATCTGGGTTAACCTCATAGGAACTGCACACCATGGATGATCCATCTGCTCATCCAAGATGGGTTAGGAGAGGTAATGATATTCAGACATCCTTCTTCTCAGCCACACTCTCCAATTTAATCTGGAGAATCGAATGCCAGAGGAGATATAGAGCTTTGGTTCAATCCAAAGACTTTCTCCTTTAGAAACTTGGCCAAAAAAATAAAAAATAAAAAAATTAGGGGGATCATCCAGAATAAGCAGTGGACTGTCACTGAAAAGTGTGATATTTTGCTTTCCATCCAGGAAATATTTCCTCCATGACCCTGATAGACACTAGAAGACAAAATAATTATGTTGATGAATGGCACTGAAAGATGCACCTCTGTTTTTCTCTCTAGATTTTACTGCAAGAGCCAAACCCTGTCACCTGCCCTGCAGGTATGTCATTACTTTTTAAAGCCGACTTTAGGAGGACTGGATTTCTGAGCCAGGAGCTGTTAGGTTAGAATCATGTTGGTGTGGTTCATGATTAGATGCAACAATCCAGCTGTAGACACAAACCAACATGCTGCTCATTCACCCACAGCTTGTTCTAATCAGACCAATAATCTCCGTGTGAACATCAGACAGGCCTGGAGACCACTTTCAAACCACAGATTAACCCAATGCCTTTGCAGACTTTAGATTTCGGTGTTTACAGCTTTTCAGATCAATTAGGTCAACCATGGTATTTTCCCCACAGATGGTTTGCCTCCTCCTACTCCTAATGAGGAGGTGTGAATAATGATGCTGTGTCTATCAGGGGACGTACCTATCACTGAGGTGATGAGGCAGCTTGTAAACATTAACTTAACCTCCTCTGCCTTCATTATGAAAGGCTCTGAGACCAGATTTTTCACTCTGAGAGTTAAAGAACTGTGATTTAAGCAGAGCTTCAGTGATGCAGAAAGGAGTTTTTCTGTAATGGATTTATCTAAAGTTTTTACATTTACTGAGGAGGTGCATGTTGTATCTAAACTGCTTGAGTCTATTTAAAGGCACAGTGTTTGTGGAAAGTGAAGCAGTTTTAATGGCTTTTTGTTTTTTGATTCATTGCTATTAAAATACAGGAAGCATATTTGTGTTTCAGCACAATATTTCCTAATAATTTAACATTTAGTGTACATAATGATTGAAGATGTTCCTCTAAAAAATAAATACCAAAAGTAGGATTTTTTTTTTTTTTGTATTATTGCCTTTTTCTTTCTTATTGTGACACACGGAGCAATTATTATAATGACTTGTTCCTAAAATATAGATATGTTTTTTGATTGTCCTACTTGTATCTCTCTATAGTGCACCCAGGAATGATTAAAAATGTTTTGCTTCTATATTTTTGTTTCAGTCAAGGGCCTCTATCTTCTCTACGAGCTGCTTTCAAGAGAAGTATGTTTTTATTGTTATATATCTCTGGGAAATATTTGATACTTTTATTAAAAGTTAGAAGCTGGATTTTTAAACAAACTGTATCTTTGCGAACATTTCAGTTTTCTTTTTTTTTTTATTAAGTTGAACTTTGAAATGTAAAAATATAACGGTTGTTTTTATAAAAAACAAACGGATCAAAGTTTAATTTCTTTTTCCAGCAAGATCAAATTCTCAGAACGACAGCAGAACAGAGAGGAGGTAAAAAATTCTTTCCTTTACATCTTGCTGGTGTTGTTTGCTCAGTGGGGTTAATTTAACCTCTTCTGATTTGTCCTGTAGGCGACCGAACATCACCATCGTCTCAGTGGAACCTCTAGCCAGAAACACCTGGTTCACTGGAGGCCCTGTGGTTTTTCCACCTCAAGCAGACTGGTGCGCTGGCATCCAGGCTGTTTCACAGGTAAGTTTTATCTCACACTTATATGTAGTGTAAAACCATATTTTTCCCACAATATACTGTTTGTATATTTCATTTTTAAAATCTAAGGAGCCATGTCAGTCTCATGATTTAAATTTTGTTTTTGGACTGCTTCCTTTACTCAACCTCTATAGGATATGTTCATTATGTACATTTAAGGGACAAAAGAGTTATGTCTCAATGTAAAACTCAAGGTATCAGATCAACAGTACTGAAAATGAAAGTAATTTCTTGGAAAATAAAAAAATGTCTCCATGAATCTATGAAAGAATGACACAAGTCCCAAAAGAATGGCTATTTCTTTAACCCCCTAAACTGTGCAGTTGCTGTCAGGCTTTGTATGCCCTTTTGTTCTCTAAGCCACAGTTAATTTGGCTTTACAGAAACAAAAAGAAACTGTTAACTTAAAACTGTTCAGGTACAAGACAAAAAGAACTAAACTTTGATTGCAAAGAACTAAATAGCACCAGGTATAAAGATATCTCATATAGGCTAATGAAAATGACACGTAGCTATTAACAGTTTAAAACTTTATCTACCTATACGTGCCTTTTTCAGTTAAATTTAAGTCTCTTTGAGATGATAAAAATGAAAAACAAGTTAAAATGTTAAACAAGTGTAAAATATCATTGCAAATTAATGAAACCCTTTACTCTTGTCCATGGCCCAGCCCCCACCATCCTATGACCAGGTGATTAAAGAGAAAACACAGAGAGATCACCAAGCCAAGCCCACTGCTGCACCACGTCAGAGCATCTGCAGGTCTACATCTGGAGCACATTCTGACCCAGTTAGGAACAACACTGATTCACCCTGCAGTGCCACCTGCTCACATGCAGAGGGAATCCCTACAGGTGAGGCTAATTCTAACATCTCATTGACTTTTATAAAATTACCTTTAATGCAAAAAAAAAAGTTTTCTGAAAAGTATATGCATTTAAAGTGAAGTACCTGCACTCATGCCTTCTTTTGAAATATTTTCAGCATTAATGCAGAAGGGGATGAACCTGTGGCTCTGCCAACATGCTTTAAAAATCCTGAGTTTCTTAATTAGTGACCTATAGCTCATCTGCTTTTTTAGCTGTGGTGTCTCACACTTTCCTCTTGACGCTACTCAGAAAATGTTGATTCTCTGAGATCTTTGCCAGTCAGGAGTCATCATGGTGATTAAGCAGGTACTAGTAATTTTGGTCATTTTCCCAGTAAGACATGAAGCCATGTCTTACTAAAAAAAGTCTCCATAAAGCCTACTGGCAGAGGGAGCCATGAAGTTCTCTAAAGCTCCCTGTGAGATCACTCTGGAAGCAATTCCAACTTTGAAAGGGTTTTGGTTTCTAATCATCTCTGAGTGCTGTTATCTATGTTGGTTGATCACACTTTATTTTTCCATTGATATGCTAGGTGCTTTATAAATGATGAGCTCATGCAGTTAACTGCTTTGTTCTACTGTCCTTCTGGTTGATGGTGCCTCTCTCCTGGAACACTGTCTATTCATTGATCTTCCCTGATTAGGTTAGTCATACTATGGTCACAACGCTTTTGCATTAAAATGTTGTTTTTTTGGCCCCACTGAATAAAGAGGTATTCTGTGCAGACTGAATTGTAGCTTTTTCATCAGTGGTACACTTTAATCATCAAAATTAGCTGTACCTGATTTTTTCAAATATGCCGTTCTTTGTTATAGATAAATATAATGAGCTCCACCGTTGATTTAAATTGTTCAAAAATCTATTTTGATTGCATTTTACTGGTTGCAGTGCAGCTTAATAGGTTAGCCCCAAGTATAAAAGGTCTCTAAGTATTAAATATTAGGCAGACACTCCAGTCACACTGTCTTTGCTTCTTTAAGTAATTTGGTTCATTTCAGTTATTAGGATTACTCCACTGGCTATTTTTGGGCTCTTAAGTGAAGGCAAGTTGGTTCATATAAAACAATTTAGTAGCAGGACAGTTTAAAGTGTTGTACATAATAGGAAAAGAAAACAGGGAAGTATTATTGCAAAGATTATTATTTAAAGTAGTATTGCAAGATATATATTTCTAAAAAAAGAATCAAATGATTAATAAACAGTTGGATTACAAAGATTGACTAATATTTAGAGAACATAGTCAAAAGCTACTCTACACATATACGATTTGAATCTTAAATATCGTAAAGCGACTTATTAGGGTTTCAGCAGCACCTATATAGGTTTTGGGAGAAGCGACTAAAAGCTGCTTTTACATGTATGGTTCTATCCGTAGTAGACATGAGCAAGATCTTAAAGGTCTGGGTGGTTGATACACTGACAAGAAGTCTGTGATGTATTTTGGTACCAAACGATTCAGTGATTTATAGACTAATAGATGGATTTTCAAGTCCATTCTGTGAGACTTCGAAACTGTGGTGTTTTTGTCAGTAGTGGTGAAGGTTTGGATAAGACCGTTCCGGATCAACTGTGGCTGTCTGATCATTTTTTCTTTCGTTTTTTTTTTGTTTGTTTTTTAATCAAACCTAATGATAAACACACTAATTACTTTTGTTAAGATCCTGCAGAGACATTAGGCATTTAATCCTAGAGATGAGTCCATCACAACAACCAGATTTCGATCCTGATCATAATGTAAAGCTGTGTGTTGTCTGCATAGTTATGGTAACTTATGTGTTTGTTGTTATTAAAATGTGAGTTAGGGGAATCATATGGGAGGGACATTAAGATGTACCCACATGTGATTTTTGTGGTCTCTTGTGTAAAGTACCTACTGACACAAAAACTTTTGTGATTTTCTTTGTTTTTAGCCAAAAAGCCCAATAAGCCTCCAAGGTCTTCATTGACAAAAGCATCCAACGCAAAAGGAGGCATCAAGATTGCAAGAAAAACACCAGAACCCACAAGTACAAGGGGTTCGAATTGGGACTGTGATCCGGATTTAAGGGGATTTGAGAACACAGCCTCAGAGCATAAATCTGTCATTGTGCACTGGAACATTCCTACAAACCGTCAGTCTGACAGTTCTGTTTCTGTCACTCCTGCTGCTTCAAACTTAGAAAGTAGACCAGTTGCACGCCCTCGAACAAAACTGCACCAAAAAACAATAATAGAGGAGGAGAGGCAATCAATTACACTTGGAGAAAACTGTGACACACCTCAATCTCATTCACAGGAGGTGCCCACTACTGAGTATTTAGAGGAATTGCTGAGGGTCAGTGAAGGCAACACATTTGGAGACAGCAGGTATTTCATTGACCAATCTTTTGAGGAATTACTAGATGAAGATGCTGATGGAGCAATGAGCACCAACAACAATAATCGAAAACTTAGTGCCAGAATCCAGGCTTTTGAGAGCCAATCTGGTACTGGTGAAGAAAATGGGTCCCAACCAGGGACCCTTGACCTTCCACCAAGGAGGGCCTCCTACAAACCTCCAGTGGCTTCAAAACCGTCAGTAGCTGTCAAACCTCCACGTACAAATGGCCCCAGTCAAAACATGGCAGCTTCACAAAACCAAGAACCGACAACAAGACCCAAGCCTCCGACAAAACCAGTGGGGCATTCTGTAAGACAAGAGCTGGAGGCTTTACACAGCAATGGGGGTCTGCCAAATCAATCACGGCCCTTTGGGTTGACCAGATCCAACAGCATTCATGAAGAGGAGAGGGTAACATCCCCACCTTTACCTCCAGTGAAACCATTCAAAGAACCTCTCAAACCCAACCTGAACTTAAACAATCACAACGTGTACGCACAGAACGAGAACATGTTCACCCCTTCGAGTGAGTAGCATTTTTTTCTGGTAAACATACTGTTTAAATGTAGGCTAATGTTTTCTCTAATCCACTAAAGGGCCAGTTATCTGTTCACCAGCATGTTTCACTAATAATACATGGATTTTTATCATTAACACACTTCTGGCTAAATAAAGGGCCACCTTGGGAGAATTGGTGTAGCTCACTCAATTAATTGGCCCCCTGGCAAAAACGATGAAAAGGGGTCCCTAAGTCCTCCAGCACTATAAACCTTTAGCAACTATAGAGATTGCTCAGGATAACCTCTGCAGCATTTTGGATCAGCTGAAGGCTTTAACTTTGTGGACTTCCTGATAGTAAAGAATTACAATAGTACATCCTAAAGTAACAAATGCATGGACTAATTTCCCAGCATCACCCTTGGACAGGATATCTCTACTTTTTGCAATATTCCACAGGTGAAAGAAGGAAATGCTAGAAACCTCTTTGATATGAGATTTAAATGACAGGTCCTGATCAAAAATATCTGAGATCAGTTTAATCCTATCCAAATGAAGTTCAGCTTTCTCTTTTGTTCAGGAAAAGCCCCACTTATCCCTCAGTTTAGTTTGGACAGCAGTGGAAGCTCTGCTAAAAGACAAGGTTCTGCAAGAAGACCAACCACCATCAGGGTTCCAGGCAAGGGGGCTGCAGGTGAGAGTCGAGCTTCAATATAACGCATCCAAAGCAGACGTTTTGATAATACATTACATTTTTCTTACTGTTTACCAATTTTTATAAACTATGAAAGATCCATGGGTTTATTGTATGTTTGAATAAAAATCAATCTCCCCTCGATATCAGATAATTATCAGGATGGTGGTGCTCCTCCTGTCCCAGTTAAGAATCCCATAGGCTCCATGAACTCCTCGATGAACTATAAGCAAAGCCTTACACCATCAAAGTCTTTTCAGGTGAGAATTACTTCACATAGTTTTTTTTTTTTTATCAAAATATTTTTATTGTAATTTTCACATTATAACAAATGTGCAGTGTTGAATAGTCGCTACAGAGACATGAGATGGATACATATCTATCACTCCATGCACAATGAAATGTATAAAAACAAACAGGGGAAAAAAACGAACAAAAAATAAGTAAATAAATAAATCGAACGATGTGCAAAATAATCCCCTCCATGCCATTGCCAGGTTACTAGTTATATTTTAAAATCCCTGTTAAGCCAAAATCTCAGAGTGTGTAACAAATGTGCAGCATTGCTCAGCTGTATTCAAGGGCCAAACCTTTAAAGGGTCTGGAATTGTTTTAAAAAGGGCCCCCACATCTTCTGAAAGTTCTTATTTGAATGCTGTAGTGAGTGTCTAATTTTCTCCAGTTTTAGACGGGACATAATATCCTCCAGCCATTGAGCATGGGAGGGAGGGAAAGCATCCTTCCACCTGAGCAGACTTGCTTCTCAAGCCAAAAGGGAGGCAAAGGATAAGGGGCCTTGTTTTGCTATAGTTAACACTTTCTCCCCTCCCATAACCCCACATAAAGCTGTTAATGGGTTTGGGTCTAATTTGATGTTTAACACCTAAGAGAGTGTATGAAAAACCTCTGTCCAGTATTTCTTGAGGGATGAGCAGGACCAGTACATGTGAATGAGAGAGGCCACCGCATAATTACATTTCACACAATGTGGACTTACATCTGTGTATATGGAGGAGGATTTGCTTTCGAAATATGAGCCCTATGTACCACTTTAAACTGAATTAAACAGTGACATGCACAGAAGGAGGTTGAATTAATCAATTAGAGTATAGAACCCCAAGTATCCTATGACATAGGAAAACCCAAGTCCTCCCTTGCTGTTTTGAGCTTATCCGTTGGGGCACTCCTAAGATCCAAAGGTTTGCCATACAGAGCCAAAATGATTCCCTTTTTAAGTGGGTCTATAGAGAGGACCATGTCAACAAAGCTGAGTTCTGCTGCTGTTGTGGCCGTCTGAGAAACAAAATTCTTGCCTAAAGATACCTGAATAAATTAGACTTTTAGGGAGGTTGAACTTTTCACTGAGCTGCTCAGATTATGTCAAATTATTGTCTATGAACTTATCTTTGAAATGTACAATCCCTATCCTGTGCCATTCTTGAAAGGCAGAGTCCTGACAGGATGGTTTGAAAAGGCAGTTTGAAAGAAAAATATTTTTAAAGTCTATAAGCAGTTAATATCTTTTCTTGAGTAGATAAGTGTTTGGGGATTTCTTCTCAAAGGTTTGGTGGTCCCACAGATGGAAGTTGATGGCTAGTATAAAAAAGGCCAAGACTTAAGGGAAACTGTGCCAGGTTAAAACAACCCTGGCCTCCAGAAACTTTCTCCATAACTTTTTAACTGATTTATAATTTTCAAAAATGCACTAAGCAGCTTTTTACATAAAAGCCAAAGGCTATGTGACCGCAAATGGAGTCAGGAGCTTCAAAGAAACATCTGACAACAAAAGATCTATAGTACTTTAAGTCAGACTACCTACATGAACTTTTGCAAAATGGTTCTGTTTATGCCAAAGAACTTGTTCACTTCATACCGTACAGAAAGATCCCTAGTAATGCACAGCTTCCCACCTCCATCTTCCCTTCATTAATGGCTATAACTATTTTCCAGATTTATGTATTTTTTTTTAGATGTTAGGTGTCAACTTTGTCTTGGGCTTGTCTAGCTTTTAGCATCCGACATATGAAGCAACTAATGTGGATTTGAAAGCAATAAAAAGAAAGTTATGCTCTGCAGATTCTGATGGTTTACCTCTTAACAGATTCTGAATTTAAAGGTTCTGACTATCCCTTTAAAAAGCTGATCAGATTTTTTTTTTCTATATAGCAAATCTTCTCTTGCACTGTAGCTGAAAATCTTCCCTGCTTCATTTCCTCTGCTTTCAGCAAAAAAACAAAACAAAAAAAACATTGTTGGAGCTCCATAAGCAGATTATTTAGTAGTACCTGGAATGTATTATGGTGTTTTTTTGTTTTGTTTTTTGCAGAACACTTTCAGTACAGGTCCGGAGCCACCGCTTCCACCAAGGTAAAAAAATAAACTGTTAGAGCTATATGGATCTAACAACATTTAAAAAAAATGCTCTGTAATTCAGCACTGTTGATGGTTTTGTGTTAAAGGAAGCCCAGTATGAAGAAAGCCATCCCGCCCTGCCCTTCTCCAGCAAAAGCAGGCCCTGGAAGACCTCCTCCACCTAACCTCCAGGCATGTGGTCGATCTCAGTCAGCACCGCAGCAACCTTCGCCAAAACTAAAGTCGCAGAAACCCACCAAAAAAGGACTGGTGTTGCCTCCAAGGCCCAGTCCAGGTCACCGCCTGTACAACAATTATATAGTGAGAAAAATAATGCCTTTGAATTTATTTATAATTCTGCTTTCTTAGAGCATTTTCAAATATGAACTTCTGTCACTAGCTTCCACTACCGCATGGGATTGCATCTGCAGATTTTGATGGCAGTAACACAGGGGAGCTGACACTTCAGGTGGCTTAAACATTGTTTTTTTGGGGGGTTTTTTATAGAAAAAAAATTAATACCGCTCATGACATTGCTCTTAGTCAAGCAGATTAACCTAATGTTTTGGTACTGTTACTAACAGAAAAATGAAGTTCTTATGCTTCTGGAAAAGATTAACCCCAAAGAATTTGAGTGCCAAATTGGAGAAACCACGGGGAGAGTCCACAAGTCTCGGATGAAAATCATAACTCCTCTGGATTCAGACTCGTCTTACCCACAGGTAAAATTTAAATAACTTAGAAATTGAATCTGTGCCATGCAGGCTCTATATTGTGCCCACCTAACTCTAATATAAACATTTTCTGCAGGATGGAGGGGCGTCTGCTTCAGGTGGAGGCAGTGACAGGCTTAAGGTCAAAGCTTTGCATGACTTTGATCCAGGCAAGTCATTCGTTTCTTCAGCATTCAGAAATGGATCACATTTAAATACTCACAGTATTTTAAGCCCTTAAAATATCTATAATATTGCAAAATCCAAACCAGTCTTCAAGATAAGATATGGAATTTGTCGAATAAATCAACACAAAAGTAGTAGCCTCAGCCCAGCCCTAAAGTCTTCTGTAGACTGAATCATATTAAGCTTCTTCCATGTTATTTTCAGCTTTTCCAAGCTTTTATGTTCCTGCAGAAGCCTTCTACAGTGTGATGCTAAAAACATGGTTCACATAAAGATGCAATGTTCAGGGTCATGGACAGAGGGTTGATTTTTTTTTTACCCCAATTGAACATTTCAAACAGGATTATGAAGCTTGATCTTGGTCATATTTAACCAAAGCACCTTCTTTCACACGCTTGCTGTGTTCCCCTAATGGCACTTGGCAAACTGCAAATTGGAACATCTTAGCAATTGCTCTCTTGTCTTTTTTGCATAAAGGCCAGATTTGATGGCTTGCCAATAGAATCTCCTTCCTGAGTTGTGGATGTTTGAAGCTCCTCCATAGTTTTTCATTTCAACCCTCTGTGTGAATGCTGGATGGTTGACTCTCTCTAAGGTGTACCAAACTCTTCCATCCTCTGATGATAGAATAGACCAAGCTCTGTGTGTATATTTCTCTTTATCATCACTGATTGGAAAGCCCTCATAATGCTCTCCAAGACCTGTCTGTTGTTTTCTTTTTAATAATGAATTTTGCTCTCTCCGTTGTTCTCTATTAAGCTTCAAAAGCATTAACAGAATAGATTGTATTACTCTGAACAGCGCAGAGACTTCAGCTGTCATATATATGTGGACACACCGTATATACTGTATTTACCCCAAGCACCTTTTCCTCCTTTCGGCACCTTCTTCTTCTTTTTGACTATTGAGCCGATGTAACAACCACATTTTTCCACTGTGAGATCAATAAAGTCAATCAATCAATAAGAAACTAGCAGAATTTAATAATTGGGAGACGTCTGGGTTTGCCTTGGATTTTATTCAGGGTTATCAAAGTTAAGGGAGCTGAATATGAAAGCATGTCAGAATTTAAACCATTTCATTTTAGATGTTTTGCTTGGCTTTGAATTGGGGCTGACATCACAAATTGTTGCTTTAATATCGGTTATTGCAATCATGATCTTTTCTCTCTTTTTCATCTCTGCTTTCTTCCCTCCGTGTTCAGTAACAGGTGTGAGCATCCTTTACATTGGGACTGTTCTACTGGTTAAACATTACATTGACATAAAGGATGAAAGTTCATTGCACTTGCAATGTATTGGCCAACATTTATGTTATTTTAAATACTCATTTGAGATATTAATATTTCACACAGAGATACTGTGATGACTGCATATATTAATGATGTATTGTTGAGCTCTACTTGGGATATAGTTGGGTTTATTTATGTAAATCATTGCTATTAGAAGTGATGAATTGTTATAAATGGGAAGTCTTTGGTTGTTTTTACAGAAGGTCCAAGGGAGCTGAGTCTGAGAGCAGGAGATGTTGTGACTGAGGTGGAGCAAGTGGACAGTGAGTGGTACCTAGGGACCTGTAATGGATCTACAGGTTACTTTCCCATCAATTATGTTACCATCTTGGTAAGTTTCAAGCAAAAACCCATTTTTGGGAAATATAATTAAATGAAAAAAGCTGCTGATGATTATCTATTCCAATCAGTCACAGTCACCAAAACCTTTACCCAAGAAGAAAGCAAAGACACAGCCTGCCTCTGTCAGGTACTATTCTGATCGGTTTTGAGCCTTTGCATTTTCTTTACGAACAACCCTGATGCTCTGATAGGAAGTGTGAAATACTCCTTGCAGTGGTCCGAGATGTGTGGCCAGGTTTGACTTTGAGGGGGAGCACAGTGACGAGTTGTCATTCTTAGAGGGGGACGTGATCCAGCTGGAGGAGTACGTGGGACAGGACTGGGCTCGGGGGCAGATTGGCGTCAATGTTGGCATCTTCCCCTTGACCTTTGTGGAGATCATAGAGGATCTCCCTCCTCCCCCGAGTCAGCAGCAGGCTGCTAGGATAGCGCTGCCAGGTGAGGAAAATAAAAAAACATGCAATATGTGCTTTTTTTTCAAGCTGTTTTTGAAACAATCCATGACACCACTGAGAGATGCCTAATGAGGCTCAGACAATCGTAAAAGACCCTCCCACCCACATCAGTCGCTTCTCTCTGCTGCCCTCTGGAAAGAGGTACAACAGCTCCAAATGCAGAACAACCAAATTCCACATTCCCCTCATCATGACAGTGCTAAACTCCAAATAACGCTCAAATTGACTTTTTAAATTTGCAGTAGTCTATGTAAGACTCGCTAAAACGCACTGAGAACACTGCTGAATCTCATTCACACACATAGACAACCTTGTTTAATGAAGGAAAAACCCAAAAAGGTCACAGATATAACTGAACTTTTTTAAATTATTATTGATACTTTTGTCTGAGTCGGACAAAAGTAATAATAATAATTTTAAAAAGTCTTTGAAAATGAATAAAGGAAAGTCAAGCATTGATTTTCAACCATGCTTACACAGAATGTTTTTAACAATAAAATCATGAAACAGGCCTGGACAACACTGAGGGTGATGTCAAAAAGCGCTTACAAACACAAAAAACTCAATTTTTTCTGTAATATTTAGCACAACGCATACGGCTTTCGTGGAGGTTAAACCTTCCATTTTTCTGCTTACCTCAGTTGTATATTCCATCCTCATGAACATCAATTAACAAGTTTCTTTCTGTAGAGGATTAATTACACAACAAATTAAAATAGTTATTGGGATCATCAAATGTTTGAAAGTTCTCATATCCACATAGGGTAGAAATTACAAAGAGGGCAAGGGTTAAATGTTGTTTTGCAAGTTGCAACTTGGTGACATGCTCTTTGCAACTATCCTCATGCTCCTTACATAATTGAAGTTTTAAAAAGGACTTTTCTAAACTCGTAGATTCCCTGCCATTCTATCCAGCTTTCATTTATCTTTCATGTATTTTCTATAGAGCTAAGATTTGGGCTTTGGGAAGACTATTCAAAAGTGTCATTTTGCACAGCTTTATGCTTAAACTGTCCTGACGAAATTGCTTGGACTTCACCTAAAGTCATGTCTGAACCAGAAAACCAACCAGTTCTGCCAAGCATACGCCAAGCATATACCTTGAAGTCCAATTCAATAGAGGACAATTAATCAAATAAATTCGGGGTATATGGGGCGTTGGTGACAGTGGACAGGTGAAAGTCGTGTCGGATGTAGGAGTTTGCCCTAAAATCGTTGGGGTTGACAGTAAAGCTCCGGCTTTTAGTGTTGTGTACAAGACATTTCACCCATATTGTCTACTGATGATAGTCAGAGAGCCAGGTGGCACCAGTGTATGGCAGCCTTGCTTCTGTTAGTGAGCCCCCGGGCAGCTATGGCTACTATATAGCTTGCCACCATCAGTGTATGCGACTGAATGTAGTGTAAAGTGCCCTGGTCAAGTTTCCTCACTTGAAAAAGACCTACATATGTACAGGCCGGGTAAGAGATACCTGAACCAGACTGACACTCTTCAAGATCCTATGTGTAAAATGTAAACTTGGTCCTCCTTCATGTATTTGTTATATCAACAGGCCTTACGGACCCTTCTCCTTTTGAACAACCAGAAGCTGCCAAACCTGTTCAGGTAACCAATATTTATAGAGGCAGAAACAACAACAAACATAACGCTGGCAAATATGTAGCTAAAGAAGTACATCGATGGATTATCACAGCTAAATATACACATTTGAATATTTCTTCCTGTCATTCCATGACCTCCATCCACAGGATGAAAGGTCCAGCGTGGAATGGGCAGTGGCTCTTTATGATCATCCAGCAAAGACGCCAGATGAGCTTTCGTTTCGAAAGGATGACTGTATCCTGATTACCAAGCATTTAAATGAGGATTGGTGCAGTGGCAGGCTCAATGGCAGAGAGGGCATGTTCCCCAGGGCTTTCATCGAGTTCTCATCAGGTACAGACATTCCTCAGCTGGGTGTAAATAACTAAACCTCAAGCTTAAACTCCGCAACCTTAAATAATTCCTGCTTGATAAGGAAAAAAATCCATATAGCTCAATATTCAGTGTGTCTTTAGTTATGTTCAGCATGTTATCGTGTGATGAACTGATTACATTTGCATGTTCTGTGGATAAACAGCAGGTATAGAGGTGGAATGTAGCCCTTTTATATAGTTTTGCATTTTTTATTTCATCAAAATATGCGCCAGTAAACAAGCTTGTGGTCACTGTGTTTAACAACCATTCCTGTACATCCTGAGCAGGAGACCATCAGGATGACAGCCCACAATATGGAGCCGCTAGCTGTGTGAGAGGAAAGGCTCTTTATAGCTTCACATCAGACTGTGAGGAGGAGCTTTCACTCCAGGTGCTGTGATATTTGTGTAGCATGTTTCCATTTATTCCAGAACCCGCCTCTCATCTTCTCCTTACACAGGTCGGGGACGTCATCACCAACCTGGAGTCAGTGGACGATGAATGGTTTCTGGGGGACTTGAGGGGAAAACGGGCCCTTGTCCCTAAAAACTATGTGCAAGTCATTGATTAATGCCTAATAGCCAGCAGAGCTGCAGCACAGAAAAAAACTGCAAAGCTGGATATGTATTCAGTCATATTTGGGAAGCATGAAAACTAAAACAGTATTTAAAGTTATGAAAATATTCTCCAAAATCATTTAAGTATTTTTTTAAATGTTCATTTTAAATATTAAAGATGTTTGCCAAAACCTTTCTGCCTTTTCTGAACTAAACACACCACCTACTGGACCTTTGTTACACATACAACTATAGCCTAATAGCTTAGAGGTTTGAAGAGTAATGCTAAATACTTACTCTTTATAATTATGTACTGGAGCAAATAAATACCTGCAGTATTTGGAAAAATACTTGTGCCCTCTTTAATTATAGTAAACATAAAACCTGAACATATGATTTGACATTCAAATATTAAGACAAAAAGACAACTAAGCTATGCTGTACACTTCAAAGCCTAAATATAGAGTTCACTTTACAAAGTATGACCCAGTAATAGTTTATTTCCATCAACTTGGACTTGGTTTACTAAAAAGACAAAATGATTGCTTTTCTTATGAGACACCTGATTTGACGGTTTGGTTTTGTAGAAAAGCAGCACCTTCCATGAGGGATTAACAAGCTATCCTTTTTGTTTTTGGCATCCAATCACAAAAGTTGTGTGGAGGGAAACAATGGGGCAGCCAAAGTTTTGCCCAACTGGAGTCACGAGTTTTGTGAAGTCATCTGGTTTTACCTAGAATAGTAGTGCTCAAACCTGCACCTCAACATGCCCTGCATGTTTTAGCTGTCCGTTGCAGCATATATTTAAAACCTCCTTGGCCGCCATCAAGTGCTGCAGAAGCCTGTTCGTTCCAAGTCAGGTGTGACAGCAAGGAGAAAGCCATAGAGCAGTGCTAAACCTGTTACAAATTGCTAAATTGGAAATCAAGGTCTGACTTATTCCTTCCAGTCAGCAATGAATCTGAGCCAAGACACCAGCCGGTGTTGGTTCAGTTTGATCATATTCCCCTGATGTTTAATGTCAAAGCAGGTTATTGAGTTGAAGTCCTGAAACACATTCAAAGGTTGGAGGACTGTTTATCAGCAATAGTATAGCACCCTGCACAGAGACCAGAAGCAAAACGAGCTCTACACTGCATTTAAAACAAAAGGTTTAACCTTAGCATAATTCATTCTACGATAATTTGGATACCAATAAGTCCCTCAGAAGGAAAATCTTTATGCCGATATGAAACGGTTGATTTAGGACATTTCTATCATAGATTTGATCCAATATTCAAATCTTTACCCCCCCCCAACCTGTAGACAGACTTAAGTACATTTAAGAATCATGCTCCTACAATAACAAGTCTCATAATTTAATGTACGGTATTAAATGATTGCATTTCCTTGCCTAATTCATGATTTCTAAGGCAAAACTACAATCAAATTACTAAAAAAAAAAAAAAAAAAAAATCACAAACCAGGATGCAAATTGTTGGTCATTTACATTTTTTATTAAATCTGTTCAGATATTCTTAGACAGTCTCCTGGATTGGGGGCTCATAGCCATCAGCCCTCTCAACCTTAGCACCAGTGTCATCACCGGAGGCCTTTGCAGCACCGGCAGCACCGCCTTCTCCGTGGAGCTCCATCAGCTTGCCCACTGCAACAATGAAGAGAGTTTTTACCATTTAAACTGAATGAAACCACATATCCAAAAGCTGTGATGGTTGATGTTTGTGTTGGAAACATCAGCTGATCTCAATATGCAGTAATCAGGCAGTCATATGGGACCGAAACAGTTTGTCATCAAGTGTTCCCATATAAATTATCTGGCTGGTCAAGAGTTCAGAGGGCTTTTTTTACTCACATTCAAACTTGGGCTTCTTAAGCATCTTGACCTTGCGGACATAGACGTCGTGTAGAGGGTAGATGGACTGGCAGGCCTTTTCGATATCCTTGCCAACGCTGTCAGGGATCCTGAAAGACAAGACAAACAGGACTTAAAATGTAAACAATTCAAACCCCTCTGAGGGCTTCAGTTCTGATCATTGGTTTTGTTTCACACAGCAAGTAGTGTTTGACTTACAGCTTGTTGACCACCTCCTTCAGGTCGTTTGTCTGAACCTCACGAGTCATGATCTCCATCATCTTCTTGCGAATCTGGCGGACCTGCTGGTGCTGAGCATAGGAGGTCTTCCTGATCTGGTTGGTACGCTTCTTTGTGAAACCCACGCAGAAAAGACGAAGAAGGTATCCATCGGTAGTCTTCACGTCCACATGGGCTTCAATCATGGTCTGGGTAGAAACAGCTTCATTAGCCGATTTTCTCAAACTGATTCTAGTCACACCTCAATGCAAAATAAAGCTTTTCTGAATAAGAGTCAATGCTGGTGTCAGACAACCTGCATAGTTTTAATGATGTGCCTTTCAATTTGGGTACAAAATATACATCAATCCTTCCATGAGAACAGAACTAGGCTAAATTCAAAAGAACAGATCATGACAACCTTCACATATCACACAAACCCCAACAGACCAAATCGATATATGAAAATTTGAGCAGTGACTGACATCTGTAAATACTGTATATCATCACATTCATTCCTATGAAATATCTAAACCATTCTAAACAAACCTGATTTTTATTTTGAACCACTATTATTAATTTTTTCAACGTTTGTGATCATACTGTCAAAAGGGATAGTGGTTAGGGCATAGGGCTTTGAATCCTGAAGTTGTGAGCTCGACCCCCTACTCCCACTCTGGGTCCCTGAGCAAGACCCTTAAGCCCACACTGCTCCCCGGGCACCTCACAATGGCAGCCCACTGCTCCCCAAGGGGATGGGTTAAACGCAGAGAAGTAATTTCCCTCTGGAATTATTAGAGTATATAAAATACATACATACAAAAAAAAAGAAGAAAAACACATTTGCAGAGTCAAACTTTAAATGGCAAAGAGTAGCTCCAAATCCAAATGCATAAATTGTAAAGGTTTAATATTAGCCATCCCCGAGCACAAAAGCACGACTTCAGAGCACTGCCTACTGATGGAGGTCAGAGGGCCTGGTGGGAGCAGCTGCGACTACAGTGTAGCTCAACATAATCGGTGTGTAACCGTGTCTGAATGACTGTAGAGGTGCCTTTATGTCTCCTAACTTTAACACCGCATTGAGCACCGGTCAAACTGTTTCATATAGAGATGTCAAGAACAAAAAAATCCCAGTAGCTGCCAAATATTACCTGCCACTTCTTGACCATGGAGCACATCTTGTCACGGGTCAGATCCATGCCATGGAAGTTGGTGAGGCAGTTCTTGCCCTGAACATCCTCAGTGATGAGCTTAAACTTGCGGAAGGCCACCTCGTCATTCTGCAGGTCAGCGAGGCTCACCTCAAACACACGTCCCTTAAGACCATCAGAGGCAATTCCTGGGAAATAGAAGAAACACATTAGGAAGGATCCAACGCTGTCTGAATTCCAGGACTATTCTACAAGAGGCTAGTAACAAGAATAACCTGGATTTAACAGACCCTTGAGAATGTAAAAAATAAAATACAAATACAAAAAGTGACTGGGCAGGGATATATCCCAGTGAATATATCCCCCATCTCCCAGGCTGGGGATCCAATTACAAAATAAAATCAGAGAATTATGTAAATAAATAAAGTTTAACAGCATATGTACACTTTACTCATTTTAGAACATTTTGTTGGCCTCAATTACTCCTTTTTAGTCAGGATTTTAATCCATAGACACGAAGTTGTACAACTATAAAAAAAAATTTGGTGCCATCTATACTGTTTAAAGTGCAGTCCTACTGTTGGGCTCCTTGCCTCCAATTTTAATAATGCCCAATAATTTCTTTTATACATGTAAAGCTATTATCTCGTTTTAACATAAGCAATTAATACACTCATTACCTGTATCCTACAAGACATTAAGACAAGAGTGAGGGGCAACCCAGAACACCTAATACCACCTGTAAAAACTGAAACATTTTAATTTCTTTATTAACCTTCATAACAAAAGGCCTGCTTTGAGTAAATAAGTGGGGAGCTACACATCACGCTGATCCACATAAATGGTGAATTTCCACAGCATGCAGACTTACTGGTTCCCTGAGTCCTGGTGACCAAGGTTTTTCCGATGTTGCGGATGTTGAACATGGCAGGTGCCTTAACATCATACCAGTCTTTCTTAGAGAAAGGGTCCACACTGAAAGAAAGACAGCAACGAATCACAAAACCGGCTAACACTGTAGCTTTAACCTGCTAGCATGCACCATTTAGCTTAGCATTGGCAAAAAATACTGTCCCAAGTATGAAATAATCAACTCTAAATGGAGAAAATCGTCTCAATTGGGGTATTTCAGTCACTAAAACACTATAGTTTAGATTTAACCACCCTTGCATGTATTAAACTACTCTCTAAATACATCCACGCTCAGGTACAGCAGCTTTTAGCACAGACTACTGTAGGGACAAACAACACTTAAGCTTCTTTTTAAACTGTGAAACGCCTGTACGGGTAGTGCTAGTAAAACGAGACAATTTCCATTAAAAATGGATAAAGTACTTTATGATTATTGCTAGAGAACGTGTCTGAACTCCATCCAACTGCTAGAGGCCGGTTGCGACAGGATCAGCGTCCTCACCTCAACCATCCATTCAATATCAACTTCATCCGTCACATTTATCATGCCAAAGATAAAACATTAGAAAGATGAAGGTTTAATTATTGCATACATGAGAGGATTTTTAACTTACATCTTCTTTTTGGCACCTTTTTTGCCGCTTTTGGTCAGCCTCTTATTCTTGCCGACTGCCATGTTGGCTACAGGGAGCGAAAGAGGAGGAAACACGGAAACATCGCGAGATTTAAAGAGAATGACAATATGAGGTCGCGGGATGTGAATTCTCGCGAGTTTCGAAAATTTAAGTTGGCTCCCTCTAGCGGTTTGCTGTACAGGAATGCTAAATGTTTAACAGTACTTGGTATTAAGAAAACCCTTTATCTTTAATCATTTGTCCAAAAATTCTTCATTCAAATTTCAAATATGAGAATAGTAAAAAAAATTGAATTCTTATAATTGCTAATACTCAAAAGCTCAATCTTTTTAAATACATTCTGTTTGTAGTTTAGTCATCTGAAATCCCAACAAAGCAAAAAAATGAAGCTTAATTTTAAAATAAAAGTTTTTATATATGCATATATTTTATTATAACGT